CCCCAAAAATATAATAGTGAGTTTCCAACTAGGGCCTATGACCTCCAGAACCATGGGCTTTTGACCAAACTTGAAGTACCAAGCATGAATTTCCTCTTGTGAAGCAATCCTCAAATTGAATGAGAAAGTGGGTGGTTGTTCCTGTAAGGCTCACACCACTGATGCACCAATGGGTCCATCCTGCCTAGGTTAGTTAGGATGCAGCATCCTCCTCTGAATAAGACCACTGATGACTCTCCCTCCTCAGCAGTTCGCATAGGGAAGAAGTTGGGGCTCAGGAGACCTGACTTCGCTACCCCAAAACTTGCCTCTTTGGCATGTTGACTATTTCAACTGGCTATTCTGAGAAACTAGACACAGAGGTCTCTCTGAAAAGCTGCTGTTTTGTGAGGGAGATTTCCACAAAGGAAATGTCTTCCATACCAGGAAGACAGCTGTTCTAAAATAACTTCTACCACAAAGGTTTCTTTCTTCCCGTTTTTTGCAGTGAGAGAAGTCTTCTGCAAGGTCAGCAGCCTTCTCTGAGCTGCATCCTCAGCCTGAGACATTTATCTACATAACAAGACAAGAATGCCTTTCTGAGTCTCAGCCTCCCTAGTTTGTCACCCCAGGAAGCCTCGTGCTGCTATCACTTTCTGTAGCTCAGGATGGTACATATGCCTCCATGGTTGCTTACGCACACCATTTAGAACTCTCATTAGTCCATACACAATTATGTTTATGCTGTGGAATACTTGTTTAATGATACAAAGATGTATTGTGTTCTTTTATGTTGCATTTGTTTAACTCTGTGAAGCTGTGTTACTTTGCCTGTCTAAAACATCTGATTGGTCTTATAAAGAGCTGAATGAAGCCGGGCATTGGTGGCGCACGCCTTTAATCCCAGCACTCGGGAGGCAGAGGCAGGTGGATCTCTGTGAGTTCGAGGCCAGCCTGGCCTACAGAGTGAGTTCCAGGACAGCCTCTAAAGCCACAGAGAAACCCTGTCTCGAAAAAAAAAAAAAAAAAAGAGCTGAATGACCAATAGCTAGGCAGGAGAAAGGATAGGCAGGGCTGTCGGGCAGAGAGAATAAATAGAAGGAAAAACCTGGGAGGAGAGATCAAGGAACGAGAGAGCAAGGAAAGAAGGATGCTAGGGACCAGCCAGGCAGTCAGGCAGCTACAGACTGAGAGTGAAAGTAAGATAGAAGTAAGAAAAGGAAAAAGTCCTGAGGCAACTGGTAGATGGGATAATTGAAGGGCTTTTTGTTGTTGTTTGTTTGGTTGGGTTTTTTTTGTTTTTTGTTTTTTGTTTTTTTTGGTTTTTCAAGACAAGGTATCTTTGTATTGTTTTGGAGGCTATCCTGGAACTAGCTCTGTAGACCAGGCTGGCCTCGAACTCACAGAGATCCGCCTGCCTCTGCCTCCTGAGTGCTCCTGAGTGCTGGGATTAAAGGCAAGCACCACCAACACTCGGCTGGGATTTTTTTTTTTTTTGGTGGTTTTTCCAGACAGGGTTTCTCTGCGGCTTTGGAGCCTGCCCTGGAACTAGCACTTGTAGACCAGGCTGGTCTTTAACTCACAGAGATCCGCCTGCCTCTTTGCTTGGGATAATTTAAGTTAAGGAGAGCTATCGAGAAACAAGCCAAGCTAAGGCCAGGCATCATAAGAAAGAATAAGCCTCCATGTGTGACTTTTGGGAACTGGGTGGCAGAGCCCCAAAAGAACAAAGAGTAAGTAGTAAACAACCGACAAGAGTTCAGAGGAACTCTGAACTTGCAGAGGAACCAGGTTCAGTTCCCAGCATCCACATGCTGAGCCTGTGCGTGGTTCATAAATACAGATGTAGGCAAAATACTCATATAAATAAATTAAATAAATAGGGCCTGCAGCAATGGCTCAGAGGTTAAGAGCACTGGCTGCTCTTCCAGAGAACTGTCTGCAAAATTCCAATCCCAGGGAATCTGGTGCCTTTTTTTGGGTCTCCATGGACATTCCTGTGGTTTACAAACATACTTGCAGACATAAACAGAATATACATAACATGATACATATTTAAAGGAAAAGAAATTATGAATATACTTACAAATCTGTAAAATATTTTTAAAGGAATTTGAAACTAAATCAGGAAGCCAAGGAATTCATATTACCCAGGGCCCTTGGGGGTGATAGCTAGACCCTGTTGTTTTTTGGTTTTTCGAGACAGGGTGTCTCTGTGTAACAGTTCTAACTGTCCTGGAACTTGCTTTGTAGACCAGGCTGGCCCTGAACTCACTGAGATCCACTTGCCTCTGCCTCACAAGTGCTGGGATTAAAGACACACACCACCACCCAGCTTCACTTTGGGTATTTTTGTGGTATTTGTTTCTGTTTCTATTTTGGTTTTGGTTTGCCTGTTTCAGAGCTGGGAGTGAAACCTGGAGCCTCAGAGCTTGCCTGTGAGAGGCTTTGTTACTGAGCTGCGTGCCCTGAAGTCACGGCCTTAACTGTTAAGGTGGGGACCGTGGGCAGTTGGACAGAAAAAGGGCAAATTCAATTCATGCTTTATAAAGGCCGTTTGGATCACAAAAGATAAATAGGAAACATCGGTCTAATGGCTACAGCAGTAATCCTAGAGAGAGCCAAGGGGATCTCATGAGAGTAGTTACAGTAGCATCAGGGACTGCCAGAGGCTAGATAAAGCAGTCAGTAGAGAGGTGGAGGCACTGCTCACTGTTCATTGTAGGCATTAAGGAGTTCCCTTAATCCTCTAGGCCTCAGAGTCTAGACTTCCAAAGCCTTTCACACAGAAGAGTTTCAGGACCAATCAGTATGAAGCAGAGTTGGAGTTTACTAAAGAACATTTTTTAGCAGATTGAAAAACAGGGATTAGTAGAAAGCTACTCAGGGAAAAAGTGAGACATAGGTACAGGCATGATTTTCCCAAAGGAGGTTATACACACACACACACACACACACACACACACACTTTTGGTGGGTTTTAAAGCTTTTATATTTAAATCCTTACTAAGATTTTTTTGGGGGGTTATAGACCAGGCTGGCCTCGAACTCACAGAGATTCTCCTAATTGCCTCCCGAGTGCTGGGATTAAAGGTGTGTACCACCAACACCTGGCCCTTACTAAGAATTTAAATGAGGGCTAGAGAGATGACTCAGAGGTTAAGAGCACTGTCTGCTCTTCCTGAGGACCTGAGTTCAATTCCCAACAACCACATGGTGGCTCACAACCATCTGTAATGAGATCGGGTGCCCTCTTCTGGTATGCAGGTAGAACACTGTATACATAATAAAGAAATAAATCTTTAAGAAAAGAAAAGGATTTAAATGAGATCCCAGGACAATTTCTGAAATATGCAGGGAAGATCAGATAACATAAGATAACACTAGGTCAGGATTGAGTCTATAGCTCACTTGGTAGAGTGAATCCCTGGGTTTGATCCCTAGCACCACATAAACCAGGGACACAGGTGCTCCTCTGTGATCCCAGCAGCACACTGGAGGTAGAGACAGCAGGATAAAGTTCAAAGTCATCCTTGCTAAAAGTAAGTTCGAGATTGTGGAGGTTTGAATAGACTCCCCCCCCCCCACAGACTCATGTGTTTGAATGTGTGGCCCATAGGGAGTAGCACTATTAGGAGGTGTGGCCTCGTTGGAGTAGGTGTGGCTTTGCTGAAGGAAGTATGTCACTATTACAGGCATTCTTTCCACCAGCTGGACCCAGAGCAGCGTCAGCCCCAAATGAACACACAGACGCTATATTAGTTATAAATCTGTTGACTGGTGACTAGGGTTTCTTATTGGCTAGCTCTGTCTTAATTATTTACCCATTTCTATTAATCCATGTATTTCCATATGGTCTTATTTTACTGAGGAATGCTGGACCTGCAACTCCTTCACCTGCTACATGATGACTGCTTGGTGTCTCTGCAGAGAAGAGAATGATTTCCTGTTTGTCCTTGCTTATATCCTGATTCTGCCCAGCTATGTCACTTCGTGTCTGGCCAATCAGAGTTTTATTCATTAACCAATAAGAGAAACATATATACAGAAGAACATTCCCTATCATGTCACTGTGTGGGTGGGCTTTGAGGGCTCATATGTGCCCAATCCATGCCCAATATGACAGTTCATTTCCTGTTGCCTGTGGATCAAGATGTAGAACTCTCCACTCCTTCTCCGGTGCATGTCTGCCTACACAACACCATGCTTCTCTCCGTGATGGACTGAACTTCTGAAACTGTAAGCCACCACAATTACATGTTTTCCTTTATAAGAGTTGCCATGGTCATGGTGTCTCAAAACAGCAATAGAAACCTTAACCAAGACAAAGATCAACCTGGGCTATGCAAGATCCTGTCTGGAAAACAAAACAAAATCACACTAGAACGTGGGGATGTGGGAGATTAGGGTAGCCTCACTGTGAACACATGTGAATAGTTTTGTTTATAAGACTCTCACAAAATATCTGGGAGAAGAGTGAGGCCCTAACCAAAATCATATGAAGTGAGGCATTAAGTTTGATTTATTGCTAGTTTAACTTTTTTTTTTTTTTTGAGACAGGGTTTCTCTGTAACTTTGGAGGCTGTCCTGGAACTAGCTCTTGTAGACCAAGCTGGTCTCAAATTCACAGAGATCCACCTGCCTCTACTGGGAATAAAGGCATGCACCACCACTATCCAGTGATGTTTTTTAATTGGAATGTGTAGTGGCACACGAGTTTGTTTGTTTGGTTTTTCTTTTTCTTTCTTTTTTTTTAAGATTTATTATTCTGTATGCAGTGTTCTGCTCACATGTATCCCTACAAGACAGAAGAGGGCACCAGATCTCATTTTGGATGGTTGTGAGCCATCACGTGGTTGCTGGGAATTGAACTCAGGACCTCAGGAAGAACAGCCAGTGATGTTAACCTCTGAGCCATCTCTCCAGCCCGGCACATGCTTTTAATCTCAGCGCTTGGGAGGCAGAGGCACACAGATCTCTGTGAGTCAGTCTGCTCTATATAGTAAGTTCCAGGACAGCTAGGGCTACATAGAGATTTTTGTTATTATTATTTAACACAAACTGTGTATGGTGTGTGTGTGTGTGTCTGATTGTGAGTGCAATGTCAGTGGAGGTCAGACAGAAGGTGTCAGATCCACTGAAGCTGGAGTTACGCTGGTTGTGAGACACCTGACATGAGTGCCGGGAACCAAACTCAGGTCCTCTGGGGGAGCTCTATGTGCTCCCAATTCCATTTTGAACATAAAGCCATGTAGATTTGCTATTGAGTGGAAACAGCATCAGGAAGCAAGCAAAACACCGAAAATCACTGAAAAAAAAATGCAGATTCCAGTCACAGCAGATGGGGAACCTGGGGAAAGGGCAGGCCTGTCCTCCCTGTGTGACTGTGAGGGGGGCATTCTGATCCTCCACCCCAGGACGCTCACTTTTGAAATAGCTGTAGCTGTTGCTTCCCTGCAGTCGGAGGTGAGAAACTGAACAGGGTCACGGACTCAAGACTCACCTGCTTTTGCCAGGTAACCACACCACACAGCACCAGGCTGACAGGGGTGGGGATATATGGGAGGGGTGGGAGGGGCGGGGAAGGTGGGAGGGGCGGGGAAGGTGGGAGGGGCGGGGAAGGTGGGAGGGGCGGGGAAGGTGGGAGGGGCGGGGAAGGTGGGAGGGGCGGGGAAGGTGGGAGGGGCGGGGAAGGTGGGACAAGCTTGAGACTACTGAACCAGATCACAGCAAGTAGGAGAGAAACCGCATCCCTGTAGATCCACATTCATCCCTCTTTCCATGTTTTCCTTCTTAATCCTAAAACATTTTCTTCCTCCAGAGTCTTGGATGCTCATAGGGACAGTTAATAATGACAGATGATAAGTGACCATATTCCCACAGCTTTGAAGTTTGTAAAACACTTCATGGCTATTGTCTTATTCTGCATTCCCTTGAAGAACTGAACCAATGGGATGAATATATCAAAATTAAAGATTTTTTATTTTAATTTTTTATGAACATTGACTGCTGTTTTGCCTGCATGTGTGTCTGTGTGAGGGTGTCAGATCCCCTGGAACTGGAGTTATAGACAGTTGTGAGCTGCCATGTGGGTGCTGGGAATTGACCCTGGGTCTTCTGGAAGAACAGCCAATGATCTTAAGCCCGGAGACATCTCTCTAACCCCTAAATTAAACAATTTAATTAAATTAGGGGCAAGAGGGACGCCAACCCAGCAAAAGCCAGATCATTTTCCTTCTGCCACGTTCTTTTGATTTGGTCTGCTTCTAGAAGCTGCTGCCCACCACCAAGATGGCTCTTCCTGCATCAATTAAGGCAATCGGGACATTCTTCAGGGGAGGCTCCCTACTTCGGTGATTTTAATCTGTGCCGACTTGACATTAAAACCAACCATAATAGCCACTATCTTCACTGAATCCAGCCTTAAGTACGGCTTTTTCTGAAGGAGAATGAAATTCTGTTTTTGTTGTTGTTGTTTTTAAGATTTATTTATTTATTATGAATACAACATCCTGCCTCCATGTATGTCTGCACGCCAGAAGAGGGCACCAGATCTCATTATGGATGGTTGTGAGCCACCGTGTGGTTGCTGGGAATTGAACTCAGGACCTCGGGAAGTGCACCCAAATACTTTTTTTAAAAGATTTTATTTCTTTATTACATATACAGTGTTCGACCTACATACTGGAATAGGGTACCAGTTTGAATTGTAGATGGTTGTGAGCCACCATGTGGTTGCTGGGAATTGAACTCAGGACCTCTGGAAGAACAGTCAGTACTCTTAACCTCTGAGCCATCTCTCCAGCCCGCACCAAAATACTTTTAACTGCTGAGCCATCTCTCCAGCCTGGAGGATGAAATTCTTTTCGGAGGGGGCGGGGAGGGAGTTCTCTATGTAGCTTTGGAGCTTGTCCAGGCACTCCCTCTGTAGACCAGGGTGACCTGGAACTCAGAGATCTGCTTGCCTCTGCCTCCCAAGTGCTGGGATTAAATGAGTGCGCCACTGACGCCCATCTGAGAATTAAATTCTTAAAAACAGAAAATGTAAAACCACATAAGACTCAGGCCATATACCCAACCAGATGTAGTTGGAAATATATATGGAATCTCGTTAGGTCTAAGGCAGGGAGATGACTGGAGAAGGTCTTGAATTGCCTGTCCTTCCTTCTGTCCTTCAGCTGACCTGCCACCCAGCTGTACGGAACTGTTTTCAGCTATGACAGAAGCTGTGCCCCTGAAGATGGCCTACCAGAGACCCTGCTGGACCTCGATGGCTTAGCCACCAGAGTAGCATGGCCGGGGGTTAGGGAGTGTGTCTGCACAGAGCTTTACTACATCCGAGGTATCAGCGAGGAGCCATCCTCTTCTGTGGAGCCCACAAGAGCCCACCTGCTGAGGCGTGTCCTCCCAAGGGGCATTTCTGCATGTGTTCCCTTCTTTCTTCTCCTCAGACTGGGAGAGGGAGCAGCTGGACTCAAAATGCCAGGTGCTGGAACCCAGCTGTTCCCTCTTTGTACCCCTCCACACCCAAATGAACTGAGCCGGGTGGAGGCTGAGGGGGTGGGGCTACCTTATGCTGTCCGGCGATGCTGTACCCAACGCAGGCAAATGCATCCTGAAATTGATTCCGAGCAGCAGTTCTGACCGGTGAGAGCCGCCGCGGACCGGTTAGAGGTGGTGGATGGGAGGGCTGGGAGTGCAGGCCTCGGGTAAGAGTAGGCAAGGGTGGTGGGGAGTGAAATTAAAGGAAGTGGGTTCTGGACAGTAGCGGTGCCAGTGGAGGCCAGAGCAGCAAGCTGTAGCTCCAGCTCCCCACCCCCACCCGGGCTCAGTTCCCATCTGAGCTAACAGGGAGTGAACCCCCTAAGTCAGCTGTCTTGGTAGGAGACAGGGCTGCCTGCGCCAAAGCAAAACTAATTCATGGGCCGATGGTTAGGGAGCAGAGCGGGGATAGCTGAAGCGAGAAGGACCCGTCCACCCGTGGCCTTTGCCAGGTGCGGCGGGTGTAGCCCAGAACCCGGGTTCCCTTTGCAGGTCCAGGCTCTGCCATGCCCGCTCCGCTTCTCCCGTTGCTGCTTCGGTCGCTGCTATCCCGCCTGCTACTGCCAGTTGCCCGCCTGGCCCGCCAGCACCTCCTGCCCCTGCTGCGTCGACTGGCCCGCCGACTGAGCTCCCAGGACATGAGAGAGGCTTTGCTGGGCTGTCTGCTGTTTGTCCTCAGCCAGCAACAGCCACCGGATGCTGGAGAGGCCTCCAGAGTGGACCACTCCCAGAGGAAGGAGAGACTGGGCCCCCAGAAGTGAGGCCACGTGTCATGCGAGCAGCAATGTCCATCGAAGTACTTACTTTTGGAGTGGGTTAGTTCTGGCATTTGCGCTGACTGAGGAATGCCCATGGGAGAAGACAGTGGGGGCTGAATGCAAGAGGATTCTGGCCTGAGCACCACCACCCCCATCTTGCAGACCACAGCTCTTCCCTCCTGCCTCCCTGCAGCTCCCTCTGCCAGTCACCTCTGGCCTCCAGGGCAGACTTACAAATGAGGGCATCAAGGTCAGTTAAGAGACAAAGTGTTACTTAGACTCGAGGTAATTTAGAAAAGAGCTGGTATTTAAATCCCAAATGTCCAGTCTTTCAGATGTCTTCCAGATGTAAAATCTACCTTAAAATACTAGGACCTTGGTTCCCTTTTGAGACAGATGTATTCCCAAAGCTCAGCATGCAGCCAGTAGTCAATAAACAGCAGTGACTACGTTGTTGTTTGTGAGACCTGATTTTATGTAGACCAGGCTGGCCGCAAACTGTTGAGGATGATCTTTCTGTTTTGTTTGGCTTGGTTTGGTTTTTTTCAACACAGGGTTTCTCTGTGTAGCTTTGGAGGCTGTCCTGGACTCACTCTGTAGATCAGGCTGACCTCGAACCCAGAGACCCGCTAGCCTCTGCCTCCTGAGATGCTGGCATTCTGGGCACACACCCACATCAAGCCCAGTTTGTGTGACATCGGGATTAAACCCAGAGTTTTGTATGCTGGGCAGGCACTCTGTGCTGGATGACCGGGGTGATCAGAAAGTCTCACCATCCCCGCTCGCTCTTGCCTATCTGTGGGAAGCTGGAGGCAGGGTGGAGAAGACATTGGCAAGACTTCCTTTGATAACTTGTTCCATCTGTCTGCGCAAGCTACAAGTTGTAGTTGTGTAACTTCATTCAAAATGTCCCACTGTGGCCCAGGATTCTCAGATGGGGTGGAAAATCAATCCCTGGCAAGTTTTGGAGACATCTCAGCTAGAGGTGAGGGTAAAGGAAGGCAGACCAGCTGGACGGTGGGCAGGGAAGTGGGGGCATGCTTGCCCGTGACGGAGGTCATACTACCCTGCAAGGCACAGGAAGTCACCTAAGAGTTTCACTTCCTAGGGCTGCAGAGATGACTCAGCAGTTAAGAGGACCTGAGCTCAGTTCCCAGCGTGGCACGTGGCAGCTCATGGCCCTCTATAACCCCGGTTCCGCAATGTCTTCTGGCCTCTAAGGGCAACAGGCACAGACCTGGTGCCCAGACGGCACCCAGTCACATAAAATAAAATAATGTTTAAAAACTTACTTTATTTCCCACTCCCCAGTAGAGGCCCTGGGAGCCTCTGTGTGTGTGTGTGTGTGTGTGTGCGTGTGTGTGTGCGCGCGCGCGCGTGCGTGTGCGTGCTTGTGAATGTGTGCTTACAAGGGCCGGCATTGCATAGCAAGGTCCTCTGCATAGTTTAGGATTCCCACACAATAATCTTGAGCCTTAGGTGAAGAGGGCTATAGTGAGGAGTACAGGCCTCTGTCGTGACCCCTCATCAAGTTGGGGGTCCCCCTACAGGTTCCTATGGGAACTTGAGGCTGGGAAAGGAGTGACATCTAAACCGCTCTCCGACTTACCGCTCCCACTTTTCTCCCAGGCCCTATCGAACTTTTCCCTCCTCCCTTTCCCTCCTTCCGGGGCCCTGCTGCTTCCCAGAGTATTCAGAAACCAGAGCACGTGCGACCTGTGGGGACAAGCGGATTAAGGGCAGTCCCACCTTCCCTAACCCGTCCCTTCTCAGCCCCACGGCCCCTCCCACTGGGCCTCCTCCGGGCCACCTGGTGTCCTCGGATGTCCACACCTAGAGTGGCTCGGGGCGGGGCCTGGCGGGGCGGGCAGCGATTGCAGAGCGGTTGGCCTAGCATCGGTGACCGCTCCTCTCTTTCCAGAGACCGGCCAGTTCCAGCCTTGGCAGCGGAGCCCACCCCGAGGTGAAGCGGTAGGGAGGAGGCTGGGGTCCCTGCCCTGTCCCCCCACCTTTCCGGGAGCGGGTGCCCTAGTCTCAGCAGGTGCACGGGGGTGGGGCCGGAGGAGGAGCACTGACCCGGACTGCACAGAACTGCATGGTTCTGTCCCTGTCGCGTCCCGCAGGCCCTTTGAGCAGAATCCAAATCTGCCGCCCCTTGAGGAAGGATATCTTTTTTCTGGGAATTTGTAGGTCCACAACTGAATGATTATTTAAGCTCCGGACCACCTAAAGTTGTCCCCTGCCAAGCCAGAGTTAGGAGACACATTTGAGAAATTTGGCCAGAAGCCCAGGTTCAGAACGAATGAACAAAGTCCCTTCTTGAACCCTGACCTAGCATCCACCCTGTGTACACCTCTGTCTTTATTTGAAAACTGGATATTGGGCATGGGGAGACTTGCTCAATGGTTTCAACCCTCAGAACCTAATTTTTTTAATGTTTTTTTTTCCAAAGCTGTGATGTCACTTGTAACCCCAGCTCTGGGGAGGCAAGGGGGAGGACCTATGGTTAGAAATGCTATGTCAAAAAACAAGGTGGTCCTGCTGGTAGTTCAGGCCTTTAGTCCCAGCACTACTAGGGCAGAGGCAGGCAGATCTCTGTATGTTTGGGGCCAGCCAGAGCTACTTAGTGAGACCCTAAAGCACAAAACCAGGTGGCTGGAGAAATGACTCAGGATTAAAGAAAGATTACTGTTCCTATGGAGGGTTCCCATACCACTATCAGGTGACTCACACTGCCTGCAACTCCTGCTCCCAGAGATCCAAAGACTTCTGGTCTCTACACGCACTTGCACACATGTGCAATACACACACAAGTGATAACCTTGAAAAAACAAACCAATGTTGCGGTCCCTGAGGGACAGGTGGGGTGTCCTCTGCCTCCACACACTGCAGTTTGCTGTTGTATTCACTATGCTGTCTTCCCAGTAACTTCAGGGTTTGTTTTAACAGTGGCATTAGGGCGGAGCTAGCTCAGTGGCTGAGTGTGTCACTAGCACGGTTCAGGTCCTGAACTCAACTCCCCCCCCCCCCAGAATCACAAAACAACAAAAACTGCATTGCCTCAAAATTCCTCTTCATTAGCCGGGTGGTGGCGGCCCACACCTGTAATCCCAGCACTCAGGAGGCAGAGGCAGGGGGATCTCTGAGTTCAAGGCCAGTCTGGTCTACAGAGTGTGTTCCAGGACAGCCAGGGCTGTTACATAGAGAAACCCTGTCTTGAAAAACAAAACAAAACCGAACAAACAAAAAATTCCTCTTCATTGCTGAATCTTTTTGGTATCCCCCTAAATTTAGAATGTTGGGCAAGTGTCTCACTGGGCTTTCCCTAGTTCGTTTTCTGCCACAAGGCCACAGAGATTTAATCACAAACAGCAGAGAACTTGAGACACAGCTTGTGACAACCGCCCCCCCCCCTCCTCCCCAGGCCCGTGCAAACACTGTTGCAGCAAACACAGATGGCTGTTGCTAACAGCAGAGAGAACATAGGCCTGGGGAGAGGGCTGCGAGTGTGGTGTGAACATAGGCCTGGGGAGAGGGCTGCGAGTGTGGTGTGAAGCCAACCGACCTTCTAAAGCGCATGGGGGCGGAGTGCAGACAGGCCGCAGTCCCAACTGGGGTGGAGAACGGGACTCAAAAGTGAACACCAGGCCAGGTGGGCCAGCTCTCCTGACCCAACCTTAGGGACAGAGAACAATGAAATGAGAAGGCGAAACAGGCCTGGTGGACCCACGAACCTGTCCAGGCCCAGGCCTGTGTGAGCGGGGTTCTCAGGGCTGTCCGGCAGAGGGCCCTGGCACCAGTGGCTGGCTGAGGCTGCCCGGGGTGTGGGTGCTGGATGGAACCCAGGCAAGGAGCTTGCCAGATGGGCTGTCCTCCAACAATAACAGGCCTGGCTGTGGCCATCTGCAGAGATGGCCGGGTCCCAGTGGGCGTGAGGAAAAGAACCAGCCTTCCTCAGTCTGGCCAAGACCCTCACCACTTCCCTCCTTTCCTGTCCCTTCCAGCCCCCTTTGTACACAAGGACAGGCCCTGGCCCCCGGCCTGGCCATGCCTAGTGGATCTGTCTGTGACGGAGCCAGCTACTGCTACAGGGCCAGAGCTGGGAAAGGATGGTGGGTGTGAGGCGGCGGGCCTAGGGAGGAGGGGGGCAAGGAAGAGGGGAGGCAAAGGCAGGGGAGAGGCAGAGACCAGACAAACACAGGGCGGGAATCTGGGGTTGTGGACAGACTTGAGGCCGCTCTTAAGTCGTGGGATAGTGCCCAGAAAAATACCACCCAAGCCCGACTTCCTGCCTTGTTTGCTTAGTGCTACAGGGGAGATGTGTCATTTCTGGGCGCTGGAAGGCTGGATACACCCCACCAGAGTATCTTGGGACAGCCAGCGGCCCTAAGTAGAGTCAGCCACCTCCTCAGAGAGGTCTTTCTCTAGGGGGAATGACCGCACCTTTTCCCTGTGATGTTTAGTACTGGTAATTGTTAAATAGTTCCAATAGCCTCTCTGGGGGACATGCTTCTTGGGAAGGCAGGGTGAGGCAGGCAGCCTGGATGGAATAATCTCTCCTCGGGACCCTCCCGGCCTCTGGGTCACCCTACAGTAGGGAGTGCTATTGTAGGGACAGTGAATAAATCCTTTCCTCCTGGCTGCCTACAGAAAATAAGGAAGACATCCTAGCCTGCCCCTAGAGGCACGTGATGGCCTACCCCACCCCACCCCCAAGCCATCGGAGGGTTGGGATGACTTGAGACTCAGCAAGCTTCCAGTCCTAACGGTTATCGTCTTGGGTTGGGACAGTGAGATACCAGCTAGGACAAAGGGACATGCAGGATGTCAGACTTTTCCAGGCTCCCCCTTCCCGGGACTCCAGCTGTGTTTCAGTTTCCTCGCGGCCTCAGGACTGTCCCCTAAGCCCACAGCCTTCAAGGCGAAGTTAGTGGGGGTGGGGGGAATGTTGTTTGTGGGCCTGTGGGCCTGTCTGTGAAGGCTGGAGAGAAAACCAAACACACCCCTGCGTCCGGGTTCCAGAACAATTAAGTCTGAGGTATCCCACCAGGGCAGGGGGCGGAAAGTCTTCTTACAGGGAAAGGAGGGGCGGAGAGGAAGAAGGAGGGATTAGAAGGGCGTCTGCGAGGGGGTGCTAAAAGTAAAAACCGGTGGAGAGCGAGTGATGGCGTGGGCGGGGTTCGGTGAGGGATAACGGAGCACCTGAGGTGGAGTGGGGGCGTCCGGGCCTGTGTGAACAGAGGGCTTGTCTGTGCAAGCGTCCCGCCGTGGAATGTGTAGGAGTTAGGAACACAGGCTCAGCGCCGAAATTAGGGGTACCCAGAGTGGGACCGAGCCCCCTCCCAGGCTCGCGTGTACTAGGGGTGCCCGGGCCCCCTCCCAGGCTCTCACGTATGGGTGACGGTTGGGAAGGGTCCGAAGATGTGCTCACCACCAGAGCAAGCGGCCCAGGCGGGCCTAGGCGCGGGGTCTCTGGGGCTGGGAGCCCGTAACTGCCGAGGGGGGGTGGCGGGGAACCCGGGGGCGGGGCCAGGGCGGCGGCTGTCGCCGGGGGAGGTGGCCCGCACGGCCCGGGGCGGGCCCAGCAGAGGGCGGGTTAGAAAGCGCTCGGGCGGGCGCGGGAAGCGCGGGCCGAGCGCGCAGATTTCGGCGCGGGAGGTGTCCTTCTCCAGCAGGTGCTCAGAGGGTCCGGGTGGGACGCGCCGGGGACTCCGGGGCAGGGAGTGGCTTGTCCGGCCTGCCACGAGGGGAAGGGGAAGCCTGGCCTGCCAGCTCCTCGGCCGCGACGGGGACTCGGGGTGCGGCCCCCACGCGGCGCGTGCGGAGCAGCGCAGCACGTGGCGCGCATGGGTCTGGCTCTGGGCTTGGGGGTGGTCCTTCTGTGGGGACCCCGGTGAAGCGGGGCCCAGGGCAGCCTGCTTCTGAGCCTGAAAGCCACTGTCACTATACTGACCTCCTTAGAGGGTCGGCAAGTGAGCGAGCGCTTCAATGTGACCCCTCTCCTGTCTGAACCGGAGAGGGGCCGCTTTGCCTGCTGCCCCGAGGCAAGGAGGATGGGGTTCGAGTACTCATATGTAGGCGGGGGTGCTGCTCCTTCACCGGCTAAACTCCTGTCCTTGGCCTCCCTTTCCTGGGCGCGTCCTCGTTTACTCAACGCGGAGAGTGAATGAGTGTCACCACGAGGACGCGCACACCCAGGCTCCCGGTGGATGAAGGCTTATTCCACCCCTGCACCCCACCCCACTAGGGCCCTCTTTCCAACCTGGTGCGCATAGTCAGCCCCCCAATTCTGTTCGTCTTGTCCTGCCTCTGTGACCTTTGCATGCGATAATGTATGTGTCATGGGATGGCTGTGAGGTGCCTTGGTCGAGAATGACCTGAATCGCCCAACTTATTTTAGCCATTTAGTTGGAGCAGAGTACCCCTTCTTGACATCTACAGTGCTGGGGAGCCGTTTTAATTTCTCCTTCCCCACCCCAGAAGAAATCTAGACTAATATATGCACTGAGTATTAATGCTGTTTCCCCCACCCACCATCTCTGCAGCTTTTGTCAAGGGATGCAGCCTCTCTGAAACTCAGTTGTTGGCCTCGTCTCGTAGAACCTCTCTAGAATTAGCCTCTGGGCAACTGGAAGAGGGGGTATCTGCATATTGCAACCAAAGACTGATGTAGCACTAGTTTCGTGGAGAAACAGATATGTGAGCGGTGTTGGGACCCTGGACACGGAAGGACTCACATTGGCGGTTGCTTTCAGGCCACCACCTGTGCGGGTCAAGGCATGGTTGAAATGACAGCAGAATCCCTGAACTGCTATCAGATCACTGGACAGACAAAAACAAAGCCGGAGAATAGAGTGTTAGGATGTGGGCAGGACCCGAGGTGCCCAGGAGAGACAGGAGACAGAGAGAGAGAGACAGACAGACAGACCTGGGCTGTGTGTGTGTGTGTGTGTGTGTGTGTGTGTGTGTGTGTGTTCTCCAAGCCTATGCCAGGTTTCTGAAGGCAGCGTGTCCCGCCCCCCCCCACCCCCCCACCCCCCCCCGTCCTGTCTGGCTTGAGGCTGCACTCACTCTGCTGGTGTATGGAGAGGTAGCGTGCTGTGTTGAGGACTGCCTGTATGTCATGGCGTCCCTTTCCAATCTAACAGAGACCCGAGTTCTCAGACTTTCCCCAGTCGCAGCAGAGCCTTCTTGTCCTAGAAAAAAGTAGCAATACTGCTGCTTACCACTCTGCCCCCTTGCCCCAGTGCCTGGCTGACACAGAGACCTTCAGGAACTACTTCTTGAAACCACTAGAAGGAGCCTTCTGCCTCCATCAGGAGGTGTGTGGGTTTGCTGCCTAGGACTGAGAAGACCTTTGGACAGCCTGGGATTTACCAATAGAAGGGTAAGCACTATTGCGAGGCCTCCGGTGATCAGCTGTGACTCTTTGTCTGGGTGGGCGGGGCCTGAAGGGCTGGCTGCACCTGAGCACAGACCTAGCTGCCACAAGCTTAGCTTCCCCCTCTGACTCTCTCGATTCTGCTGTCTTATCTCGCTGCTACAGGGTGGCCCTTTATCTCTCCCAGCTTTTTCTGTGCTTCCAACTTCTGCAGCTACTTAGCTTGTGAGACTGCCGAATGGGGCCCCTGGAGACCTGAGGGATTCTCCCCTGACAAGCCTTTGACACTTTTTCACTCTGGACCCTCGCCCAGGACCCAGCCTTCCGCCTGAGCTAGGACCCCCTCCTGGGGACTATCCAGGTTTCTTTGGCTCCAGCCCTACTGCCCACGTCGAGTCTACTAATCCGGTGAGTGATGAGACCTGGGACAGGAGCAGCCTGCCCTAGGCAAGAAATAGCAGTCTGAGCTGGGTCCATGTGAGGGTGTGCCTGTACATTCTGGTCCTGCTTCCCCGGCCGCCGCAGAACTGCTTAGCCTGCTGCTGCTGGGTGTCAGCCTGCTCTGTGTGAGCGGTCACGGAAAGGGATGCTGAGGGGGTGGCCAGGAGCTCGGGAACACCCTCCTAGGGACGGTGTGCCACTTTTCCCTTCCAGGCCACTGTCACAGGGAGAAGAGCATAGTGGCCTGGACTGGGAGAGGAACCGAGAGGGGGTGGGGTGGCCCTGGGGCCAGGACTTGAGGTCAAAGAAAGGAACATACATGCTAGGCTGTAGAAAAGGCTGTGTCCCCTCCCATCATTATGAAACGCACTCTTGGAAAACTGGTGGAGAATTCGGGAAGCCCCTGGGCAGTGGTTGGAAAGAAAAGCTCGGATGCTACCAGCAGAATCTCCGAGTCCTGGTTACTCTAGGGAACTAAGTTCCATCCGTCCGTCATGTCCGTTCCCTGTCTCCCCCCCAGCCTTGATTGGTGGGGGTGGGGGTCTTACAGCAGTCCCTGGGGATCTGAGTTCCTGCAGATCTGTTTCACACTTTCTCTCCTTCCTTTCCCTCTCTCTGGGTCCTCCCCTTTGCCTCTGTCCGTCCACTGTCCACTGTCATCACTGCCCCTGACCGCTTTCATCTCCTGACTTTGTCTTTCCCCGCCTCTCAATCATGCCTCCTCCTCCCCTGATCCCCACCCTTCGGTTTCAGCTTATAAACTGCTTCTGCTGCTGGATAAAAATAGCGGTGGCAGCGGCCAGGCCGGCAGCCAGGTGCGGCCCAATCAGGCAGAGACCATAGAGCTGGCTTACTGGGGCCAAAGGCCAGGTGGGGATGGGTTGAGTGGTCCTGAGCCTCCAGAGGCTCATAAGGGGCCTTCCCTTGTCTGCACTGTGTGCCCGGTCCTACCCCCAAGAGTCTGAGAAGGGCCCAGGGCAGTGTGGAAGCAGAACCAGACAGGGCCTCAATATTCCTTTACCCCCAGCAAGAAGAGGGAGGGAGCTGCCAACCAGGCACAGCCGAGAACCCTGGAACCATGACAACCAGTCACCAGCCTCAGGACAGGTATTTGGAGGTGGGGGGAGCTGGTCTGGGAATCTAGGGAATGGGTCTCTAGGGTAGGGGTTGGTAGGTGCAATATTTGGGACTTGAAGTTATCTCACTGCTAACTGCTCCTGGGCTGGTGATTCTGAGTCAGGCCTGCATCCGGGTGGGGAGGGGGGGCTTGCATACCTTGGCCAGGAGCTGGCTAGTGTGCCTGCAGGGCTAGGTGGGCAGCAGTTCCCTGCCGGATTGTGCTGGTGATTCCACTGTGGCTCCGCAGCTAGGCAGCAGCTGCTGGCTCCTCCCACCGCCACTGTGGGGAGACACTTGGCTGCCTCCCTCATTCCAGAACACATTTGGTAGGACTGCCCTGTCCCTGGGGGTTGCCTTGGGGCCTCTGCCTTGTGTGACCTCAGCCCACCCTGCTCTTTGGCCTGACCCATCTAGCCTCCTGTCTCTGGAGCCTGTGAGCTTCCTCAAGCTAGTTAGGTCGGGAATGTGTGTTATGAGGGGAGAGGCTCTTGAGCTGTTCTCCAGAGGGGCTGTGAGGCTTGTGAGAGTTGATGAAACCATGCCACCACTCCTTCCAGATGCCCACTTTGTCCTCCGGGTCTCTGACCTCTCCCAGCTCCTCTGCCCACCATTTCCCTCCTGTGCCAAAGACTATGTACCTAGGCCCATTCTGACTGGTTAGCTTCATCTTTCTGTAAAATCTGGCGAGTGTCAGCCTTCTGTGACTTTCCCAGGGGGCAGGTGGGGATTTTAAGTGTAGGTCCCAGCTTCCTGCCTCCTTTCCTTCCCAGGCTGCCTGGTGCCCCAGGCCAGCCCCTTAACATTCTGCCCATTTATTACACTGCTGCTGGACCCCTCATCCCTCCTGCCCTCCTGCCCTGCATAGCCTTCCCTTGGAATTTTGCCTTCCTCTGAACCTCTGGATCAAGCTTTGAGCATCTTGACCTCAAGGGGAGAGTTTGAAGGCTGTGGTGGTCATGGCTCAGACCTGCCCACTTGGGTTACTCACTCTGGCATTCCTGTTTAAGGCTTGCAAAGAGCTAAGCTCCTGTTTCCCTGGCCAGACCTGTCTCACTGTGTTGGGCCCCCTCGCCACCATCCCTGAAGCACATGGGCGTTGGCTAAGGGCAGGGACCGGGGTTGCTAAGCTTCTAAGCAAGGACTATCCAGAGTCACTGACTCTGTGCCCTCAAGCTCAGGACCAGATGGCATCCGTAGGCCTTAGTCTGCCTGCCCTGCCCTGGGAAGTTGGGCCTACAAAACTGGTTCTGTCTGCTGAGGGGGCAGAGATCTATAGCTCCCTACTTCCCAGTCCCCTCAGGCTCCCAGCCCATCTGCCCACTGGGTCCAGAATGGTCTGAGCGTTTCTTGACCTCAGTCCTTGAGAGAACTGTTGAGTTCCGGCCTAGCCGCTTAATTACTTGCAGCCTGTATGGTGGGTGGGAGAAGGTTGTGTTCAATCTTTTGTCTACCACCAGCCCTTTAGCCAAGTCCCAAAACTGTTGCTGGATGTGAGGGTCCCGCTGCTTCCCAGCCTGAAGGCCTTCTGTCACCCATGTCATTCAGAACTGTGCCATTGGCCCTTCTCCCTTGACCCATCTACCCTCCTAGGACCACACATCATCCGCACCTTCATAGAAGGACACGTGCCCATGGACACAGCTAGGACAGCGGGAAGACTGGGAGGGAGGGAAGGTGGGCTGGTAGGTTACTTTGCCTTTTTCCTTTCTACCCAGGTATAAGGCAGTATGGCTCATTTTCTTCGTGCTGGGCCTGGGGACATTGCTCCCCTGGAATTTTTTCATGACAGCAACTCAGGTGAGGGGGGGGCCCTAGGTTCCAGAGGACATGTCCCCTAGGCTTTCAGAGCCTGACTGTGCCTCTGGGCTCAGGGGAACACGTTCCAGCACTCAACCTCTGAAAACCCCACAGTATTTCACAAACCGCCTGGACCTGTCCCAGAATGTGTCCTCAGTCACCGACAAATCAAGCAAGGACGCCGAGGCCTTGCCTGCGCCCACGATGCCCTCTCCAGAGCGGAGTTCTCTCAGTGCCGTCTTCAACAATGTCATGACCTTGTGCGCCATGTTGCCCCTGCTGCTTTTTACCTGCCTCAACTCTTTCCTGCACCGGAGGTGAGCCTCCCCGTCCCGACGCCCCAGGCTGCCCGCCTCCATCCAGTCCCTCCTGACCCCCCCCTCCTACAGGATCCCTCAGACTGTTCGGATCCTGGGCAGCCTGGTGGCCATCCTGCTGGTGTTCCTCATCACGGCCATCTTGGTGAAGGTGGAGGTGGACGCCCTGACATTTTTCACCATCACCATGGTCAAGATCGTGCTCATTAATTGTAATTGACGGACAGTGTGGGCAGCTCTGGGGCTGGGTTGGGAGCTGGGGCAAAGATAAGGGCAGTTCGGGTTAAGGCTCCCTGGGAGCCCCAACGCCAGCCCCTTATCCTTGCTGACAAGCTGTCTACTCTGCTCCTCAGCATTTGGTGCCGTTTTGCAAGCTAGTCTTTTTGGTCTGGCTGGCGTCCTGCCGGCCAACTACACAACCCCCATCATGAGTGGCCAGGGCCTGGCTGGTTTCTTCACCTCTGTGGCCATGATCTGTGCCATTGCCAGTGAGTCCTACTGTCCCACTTGGTGGCTGTGGGGAAGCGGGGCGGGGTGATTTGTAGTGATGGAGTATGTCTCATCTTGCCCACTGTCTGTCCCAGGTGGCTCCAAGCTGTCAGAAAGTGCCTTTGGCTACTTCATCACAGCCTGCGCAGTTGTCGTCCTGGCCATAGTGTGCTACCTGGCTCTGCCTCGACTGGTGAGCGGATGGAGGACGCCGGCTTCGGGGAGTGAAGCAGGGCCAGGGGTGTCCTGAAATTGGAACATGGCAAACTGGGGTCCTGGAGACACCCCTGACTCTACTTCCTTCCCCATCTCCCTTGTGAACAGGAATTCTATCGGTATTACCTTCAGCTGAACCTTGAGGGGCCCTCGGACCAGGAGACCAAGTTGGATCTTATCAGTAAAGGTCTTAATTACTAAAGGAAGTGGGGGGGGGGAGCAGGCTTGGGTACGATGTACTAACTGGCAGCTATGAGCCAAAGGAAGACAGAGTGGTCACGAGTGAGGCGGGCTAACATAGGACTAAGAGCTGGCAAAGACACGTGGGGACCTTAGGGGACTTAAGAGTTTGGCCGAGTTGGTGTTTGCACAAAGCCCTGAGTTGATTTCCTGCTCTGGGCAAGGTGGAACACATGTAATCCCCACATTTGCGAAGTCGAGGCAGGAGGATCAGAAATTCAAGGTCATCCTTGCCTATGCAGTGAGTTCAAGGCTAGCCAGAGCTACATAAAACCTTTGTCTCAATAAGGAAAATAGGAGAACTTGGATTACCCTGGATGTCTCAGGCATTTGTACTGAGGTAGCAGTTTCAGAGGGAACAGAGTAACAAGAGCTCCTGGGGGAAGGGGAGCCCCAGGGGCTTGAGTCAGGGCATTTAGGTCCTTGGGTGTTAGGGTATAACTGTTGACCAACCAGTTAAGGAAGGTGTCTACCTCCAGCTCAATTTTCCAATCGTCTGTCCGCCCCAAAACTTAAAAGACCTTTCTCTGACCTTTCACCCAACAGGAGAGGAACCAAGACGAGGAAGAGAGGAATCCGGGGTACCAGCTCCCAGCTCTCCGCCCACCAGCAAAGATCACTCTATCAAGGCCATACTTAAGAGCGTATGTGGGGCTGGGGTGTACTGCCCCCCCTCGCCCCTGTGGGGCTGGGGTGTACTGCCCTCCCCTCCTCACCCCTGTGGGGCTGGGGTGAACTGCCCTCCCCTCCTCACCCTTGTGGGGCTGGGGTGTTACTGCCCTCCCCTCCTCACCCCTGTGGGGCTGGGGTGAACTGCCCCCCCTCCTCACCCCTGTGGGGCTGGGGTGTTACTGCCCTCCCCTCCTCACCCCTGTGGGGCTGGGGTGAACTGCCCTCCCCTCCTCACCCTTGTGGGGCTGGGGTGTTACTGCCCTCCCCTCCTCACCCCTGTGGGGCTGGGGTGAACTGCCCTCCCCTCCTCACCCTTGTGGGGCTGGGGTGAACTGCCCCCCTCCTCACCCCTGTGGGGCTGGGGTGAACTGCCCTCCCCTCCTCACCCTTGTGGGGCTGGGGTGTTACTGCCCTCCCTCCTCACCCCTGTGGGGCTGGGGTGAACTGCCCCCCCTCCTCACCCCTGTGGGGCTGGGGTGTTACTGCCCTCCCCTCCTCACCCCTGTGGGGCTGGGGTGAACTGCCCCCCTCCTCACCCCTGTGGGGCTGGGGTGTTACTGCCACCCCCTTGTCTCCTTACGCTGTGTCCATCCCTACACCACCTCCCTTTCTGACCTAAGACTGGGCTTTCTTCTGTCTTCCTTCCTGTGAATACTGTGTGTATGCGTTGATCGCCCTGGCTGTCATGTAGCAGACTAGGCTGGCCTTGAACTTAGATCCACCTGCGAGTGCTAGGATTAAAGGCCACCACTGTCTGGCTCTGTGGTCTTTTGTACACAGTCACCATGGCAACCAAGAACCTGGATGGACTCTCCTTTCTCTCTCCAGATTGCAGTCCTGGCTTTCTCTGTCTGCTTCATCTTCACTGTCACCATCGGGCTGTTCCCTGCTGTGACTGCTGAGGTCGAATCCAGCCTTGCCGGCACCAGTGCCTGGAGTAAGGCCCCAGCTTCCGGGCAGGTTCAGCCAGTGTCTAGGGCGTGGAGCATGGGCAGCCTGGGGACCCTTCTGCCCAGATGACTCTTCATGGGCCTATTCGCCCTCCGTCGGCTGGAAACATCTCCTTTGTTGTAGAGTGAGGAGGCCGAGGCCCAGAGAAGGTCGGTATTGTGTCTAAGTCTCTCTTTCCCTCTTCCAGAGAGCTACTACTTCCTTCCGGTGGCTTGTTTCTTAAATTTCAATGTCTTTGACTGGCTAGGCCGGAGCCTCACAGCTGTTTGCATGTGGGTAAGTAGAATGTGGGCTATGGGACCTGTAGGCTCAGAGCATCCAACAGAGGCCGAGAAGGGCCCCTGTTGTATAATGGTAGATGGCGCTGAGAGTTCGGCTCTCTGGTAGAAGGCTTGCCTACCATCCATGACCCCTGGGTTCCATCTGTAACCCTGTAGGAAGGGGAAAAGATACAGTGGGAAGGAAATTGTCTCAAATCTACACGTAACTTATGTGTATAATTCCTGTTCTTATTTTTAAATTAGTCTTACTACAATCTTTTTCATTTATTTATTTACTTATTTATTTTAGGCAGGCTCTCACTAGATAGCCCTAGCTGTCCTTGAACTTGCTATTCTAGATCAGGTTGTCCTCCAGCACCCATCTGCCTCTGCTTCCCAAGTGCATGATGTGCTGCCACAGTCCGGCTGGGAGTGTGTGTGTGTGTGTGTGTGTGTGTGTGGCGGTGTGTGCATGTGAGTGCAGTGCCCACAGAGGCTAGAAGAGGGCGTCAGAGTCCCTGGAGCTAGAGTTGCAAGAGGTTGTGAGCTGCTTGGTGTGGGTGCTGAGAACTGAACCTGGGTCTTCTGCAAGAGCAGTATTCACTCTTAACTGCTGAGCCATCTCTCCAGCCCACATGTACAGTTCTTAGGTGTGTAACCTGGCAGGGTCATGTATGTGCGTGCACATGTATCCACCCAGACCAAAAGATCTTTCCAGTATTTAGGACTGGTAGTATTGCTCAGTTGATAAGACTGCTTGCCTAGCATACTTCATGAAGCCCTGGGTTTGATCCAGAACAGCTCATATGTCAAGTATGGTAGTACATGCCTGAAATCCCAGCACTTGGGGGCTAGAAACGGAGGATCAGAAGCTCCAGGTCATTCTTGGCTCCACAGTGAGGCCAGCCTGGGATAAGTGAGAATTTGTCTTTAAAAAAAAAGAAAGAAAGAAAGGGGGGATCAGTACCCCACAAGCTCCCCTGTGCCTCTGACAATTAGCATTCCCCAAAGGTAACCAGGCCTTGAGGTTTTAGCCAAGTCCCTCGGGCCCCTGAGTAGACAGTGGGTGCTGATATGGGCTGGACCACTGCCTGTTCCCTGCAGCCTGGTAAGGACAGCCGCTGGTTGCCGGTTTTGGTGGTCTCCAGGATCGTGTTCATTCCCCTGCTGTTGCTGTGCAATGTGAGGCAGCACTACTACCTGCCTTCCGTCTTCACGCACGATGCCTGGTTCATCATCTTCATGGCTGCCTTTGCCTTCTCCAATGGCTACCTTGCCAGCCTCTGCATGTGCTTCGGGCCCAAGTGAGTGGAGCCAGCCGGGAATTTGGTGGCATCAGGAGGGATTAATTTAATTAATTAAGAGTTCCAAGGATGTCCCCAGAGATGGCAGTAGGAGAGTCCTTCATCCCAAAGCTGCAAGGAGCTGGTTGTGGCAAAATGCCCAGCCTGGGGGTGGTGAGGGGCATGGACGTAAGGGCTTCCAAGTGTGCTCATGCTGCGTTGTGGGAGAGGGTGGAGGTCCCCAAGACAAGGAATTGGGAATTTAGAATGGAATGCGGGAGGGGGGGTGCAGGCAGGGCTGGCCTGGGCTATCCTAAAATCACCCTGCCTTCCTTTTAGGAAAGTCAAACCAGCTGAGGCGGAGACAGCGGGAAACATCATGTCTTTCTTTCTTTGCCTGGGCCTGGCTCTGGGAGCTGTGTTGTCCTTCTTGTTACGGGCACTTGTGTGACCATGTGGGGACAGACTGCACTGCCTGCCTGCTTCCTGTGCGTTTTCATCCCTGCCTGGGATGAGTCTGGTCCTGAGGTTTGCTCTTCTAGCTGACCTTGGCTTTCTTCTGGCCTGTGCTGGGCCCAGATGTCCAGCCCCAGGGAGGGAGCCTCCTCGGATGGACTTGGGATTGAGGAGTCAGAATGGCAGGGAGGCACGTTCTCTTACGGAAAGCTCTGGCTGTCCCTGCTGAAACCAGCACAGCTCCTAGGCTGAGAGACTGTGTCTGCCTCACTAGGGTGGGTGGAGGCGGAAGGCTGGCTGGTGTCATGTGATCTGTTGATGTTCCTTCTCCTTGTCCCCATCCCTTGTCATTTTACTGCCTTTTTGTACTGACAGAAGCCAGGTGCCTTCACAGGCTCTCTGATTAAATAAACGTTTGGTTTTTTTGTTTTGTTTTGTTTTTCCTCCACAACTCCCTGTGTCGTCACAGGGCTTCACCCCTTGGAGAGGAGGGCTGGCAGCCTGAGTCTAGGACTTGAACATGACCCAAGGTTGAACCTGGGTATCAGGGGAGGAGGGGAGGAGCCCTTTAGCCTCAGAGGTGCCAAGACCCCAGACTGTGGCCCAGATCTAAAAAGACTAAGTTTTTCTTCTCACTTCCTTTTTGACAAGATGAAGCTCAAGCTGACCGAATGTCCCTTATGTTCCCTTGAACTGTTCCTCCTGTCTTACCTCAAAAGCTGGTACTGCAGGTGTGACCGCCGTGTCCTGCATCTAGGGACTGAATCCAGGGCTCTGCACACTAGGCAAGCACTGTAACTGAGCTACAAGCCAGCCATCTTTCTTATCAAAGGACTGGGAAAGGAATCAGCTTCAGGTCTCTGTCTTCACTGCTCCCCTCCCCCGCAATGCTGTCCTCAGCCCCTGGAATGAACTCTGCCAAACTGGCCAACACCACCCCCAGCTTCTGGCCGCCCTCCCGCATCCCTGGGCAGGAAAAGGCTGAGGCCTGAGTTCTCCCTTACCTTGGCTCCAGGCCCTGACACCAAAGCCCAGGCTGCCAGACTTCCTGGAGAACAAGGGACCTATGTGTCCTCATGTTGGTGCCTGGCCTTCCCTTTTTCCAACCACAGTGTGGTTGGAGGAAGGGTGGCTTGGTAGGGGATGTGAGATTGTCTCAGTGGAGGGGACATTACCACTGTGACTCCAGCTCAGGATTGGCTGTGTGAGTGGAGGTGAGAGACGACAGTGCTGGCCGTGAGCACCCTCAGCCCCAGCCCTGGGAGGTGTCTCGGCTTTTCCCAGAAATGCCGCTCTGGCCTCCTGGCCCAGGCTGTTTGCTTGCTGGTCCTTGACTACTGATGACTGCAGGCCTGGCCTTACTTTTTGGACTTCCTTTTTCACAGAAAAATTCATTGAAGCCAGTGGTTCTCAACCTTCCTAATGACTCTTTAATACAATTCCTCATCGTGTGGTGACCCCCAACCATAAAGTTATTTTCACTGCAGTTTCATAACTAATTTTACTACTGTTATGAATCATAATGTAAATGAGTATGTTTTCCAACAGCCTTAAAAGGGTCGTTTGATCTCCAAAGGGGTTGAGACCCACAGGTTGAGAACTGTTGATTTAAGTGAAGACTTCAGGCCTTCATTGGTAGTGAATTTTTTAAAGATTTATTTATTATGAATATAACATCCTGAGTCCATGTCTGTCTGCACACCAGAAGAGGACACCAGATCTCATTATAGATGGCTATGAGCCACCATGTGGTTTGCTGGGAATTGAACTCAGGACCTCTGGAAGAGCAAATCAGGGCTCTTAACCTCTGAGCCATCTCTCCAGCCCTTTGGTTTGGTTTTTGAGACAACTGTTTCTCTGTATAACCCTGGCTGTCCTGGAACTTTGGCCTCAAATACAAATACCCACCTGCCTCTGCTGGCATTAAAGGCATGCTCCCAAGACAGGGTTGCTTTATGTAGCCCTGGCTGTCCTGGAACTCACTCTGTAGACCAGGCTGGCCTCAAACTCACAGAGATCCTCCTGCCTCTGCCTCCTGAGTGCGCTACTACCACCCAGCTTGTTTTCAGTTCTTAATAAGATCAAGGTAGATAGTGGGTTGGGAGTTAAATGTGCCATTGTACTGGGCACTGGAGTCTATGACTAGTTTGTCAAAACATCGTATGCCTGAGCTGGTAGAAACGGCTTCTCTTTGCTGTCTAGTTCAGACTGCCTATTCCCTGGCTGTGAGGGAAGCTGGAAATACAAGCTGAAGCCTCTTCTTTCCCTGAGCTCCACTTACTTCCTCTTGCCCCAGGCCTCTGTCCGCTTTCTTCCTCAGCACTGGACGTGCCCAGGGAACCTGTGTTTCTTCCCACACACCTGCTCCTGCAGGCTAACTCCTGAGTTTCCTCCAATCCATCCCCACTCCAGTGTGGCTGCAGGGAACTGGCTAGGGGTGGAGGTCTCAGTTCTCAGAATAGCGTTCGCCAAGATGGTTCTTGCTGTGCATTCCTAGCTGGCCTGGTATGTTCCTGTGGCTAGTCTTGAACTGGTGGAAATCCTGCTCTGGCCTCCCCTAGGGCTAGGATTGTAGGCATGGCCTCATCACAGGGGACTTCTGTGCAGAAGTTACAATGAACTTCTCCCTGGAACATGCGCACCTACTTCTCCAAAGCAGCCACCAGTCTGTGCAAGTTTCTTCCACTTCTGCTCTCCAGGGTGTGTGTGTGTGTGTGTGTGTGTGTGTGTGTGCTTCGGTGGTTGTTGTTTGTCTTTTTGAGACAGGATTTTTCTGTAGCATTTTGTTTTGAAGGCTTTGTAGACCAGGCTCACAGAGATTCAGCTGCCTCTGCCTCCCGAGTGCCGGGACTAAAGGCATGTGCCACCACTGCCCGGCTCCCTAGGCTGTGGTGACCTGACTTCTTACCTCCTGTTGTGCTCTTTTTGAGGTTGGGGTTTGACTTTTTGAGCTGACCGTGCTGCACCTGGCTCCTAGGGGTTCTCTGAAGATGGCCACTTCATTAGCTCCTGACCGTGCGACTGCACCATCTCCCGCACCACCCGGCTAAGTGGCAGCATTCATTGCCCGTGTCCTTGCCCCAGTACTGACCTGAAGGGGACGGGCAGACATATGTGACTCAGTCACTTTATTATTTTCTGTACCTGAATCAGTGTTGAGGAAAATAGCTGGAATATAATCTCATCCCCTGGTCTTCTGAGACAGCCTTCTGCCTGAGGAACTCCAGTAATGGCTGCTGACCACATGCAGGCTGGGGAGGGGGAGGGGAGGTTAAGATCATCCTGAAACACTGCTGCTCACTTCTGCTTCCTATGAGGGAGGGAGGGAGGGTTGAACAAAGAACTGCCAGGTATCCTTCCTGCCACGGTGCTGGGCTCCACTTCCTGACATTTCTGTTCAAAGAAGTCTATCAAGCTTCTGTCCTCTCCTGGGTGGCTGCCACTAACAACACACAAATGATTCTCTTTACTGCTATGGCTACGGCCAAGGTGGTGCTGACTTCAGTGCGCCCACTTGTGATCATACTGCAGTAGAGCAGCCTGGAGACTGCAAGGATCTGTTTGGGTTTTCCGCTGTTTATAAGACAGGTAAATTCTACCTTTTTTTTTTCTTCAAAAACTAATTAGCCTGGTGGGCAGGGTGGTGGTGGTGGTGGTGGTGGTCAGCACATGCCTTTAATCCCAGCACTTGGGAGGTAGAGGCAGGCGGAGCTCGGGGTTCGAGGCCGGCCTGGTCTACAGAGTTCTTAGATAGCCAGAGCTACACAGAGAAACGCTGCCTGGAAAACAACAACAAAAGGCCGACTTAGGCACAGGAAGGAGGAAATGTGAAAAGAGGGGTACAGGAGAGGTGGGGTGGCAGGAGAACCCCGATTCTCACAAAAACTAAATCCTTCTTAGAGTTAAGTTGAGAGCAATTCAAAATGGATGTGAGCCCGGGAAGTGCAGAGTCACTGGAGAGCTGTGTGTCTGGTCAGTGCAGACACAGGAGCGGTGACTTCAGGAGGCTGGCCAGAAGATCCGGTGCCCGGTCCAGGCTGGCAGAGTGTGCAGGTCCCTGGGGACCATCTGGTTCCTAGGGTGGGAATGAGCAGAATCCTGGTTCCCTTAACCCGTCAGAGGCTCAGTGCTAGCCAGGCTCTAAGAGCCTAGCAGGCCACTGGGGTCCCTGTGCTTTCAAGGTGTGACCATTCAGTCCTCCACAGCTGTGGCAGTTCAAACAACCAGCTGCTTTCCGGCTCCAGGCTATGGGGAAACGCTAAGTGTGGGTCAGCAGGGGGCTGTGGGTGAAAGTCTCTCTGCCCAAGACAGTAGCAACCTCTCTTTCTTGGCTTTTTCTGGGGATGGGGCTGGCACGGCTTGAATTCAGATCCATAGAGTGTCTGTCTTGGGCCCCAGCTGCTCAAACCTGGACCCTGGACGAGCTAGCTCCTCGGCCCTGGTTCCTCACCAGGGCATGCCGGTATCAATAAGGACTTGCCGAGAGAATGACAGCCATCTGTCCAGGGATAAGGTGCAGGGTAAGAAGATAAGAGCATTAGTAACCAGAATGAGTCTACCCAACCTGGAGTGGTCTACCTAGGCTACTTGCCCCCCTCCCCCACCCCTCCAGGCTCTGGAAACCTGAGAACAAGCCTTGCCTAGTTACTGAACTTGGAGTGTGTATTACTACGCAGCGAGTATTATTACCTCTTGCAGTCAGCAGCTAGGAATCAAGTCCGTGGGGGGCAGGATGCATGCTGGGGTTGGGGGAGGGGCTGTTGACGCTGGCTGAGAAAGGTAGGTGACATCACAGGTCCCTTGGTGGGAGCACTGTCCCCACTTGCTTGTGAACTCAGGCATTTGGGAAAGTCAGACTGTGGGATCTCCACTGCGCCTGTGTCCAGGTACTGTGTCTCAGAGTCTGTAAACCACGGAGGGTAACACCTGGAAAGTCACTGAGCTGAGTGACAGAAATGGTTTGTCCCTCTACCCAACACGTAGGTACACTCACAGACTCACAGTCCTCCCGATAGCTCCAGATCGGGACTGTTTCCTGCTCTGCCTGTTTTACTATAGGAATGAAAGCAGACAGGTCAATGGATGAGAAGATTCTGTAACCTGCAGCTTACTAAATCCTCTAATCCCCTAACATCTATCTACTCACCAGGGACACAGACGGGGCAGTTCTCAGGAGAAGAGACAAGAAAAGGCTCCGCTGATCGCCCGCCTTCTGGAACACTAGAATCACCCATCCACACGCCCAGGGGTCCCAGGCCTGGCACGCTGAACTCAGCCAGCACGCCGGGCCAAAGTTCAAGTGCTTGATATGTGCCTCTGCCACCCCGGATGGCTGCGGCCGCCCTCCCAGTTCCATGTCTGGGCAGAGGCAGGCACAGAGCACAGCGAATGGCTCAGAACCCAGCCAGCTGTGACCTGTGTACTGAAAGGGGTGAAGTGCCTGGGGCAAGACAGGTGGCAGGCAGACCTTAAGTAGGTTACATACCTGGCCCCTACCCTGACTGGTCAGCTCCAGCGTAAATTCCTTTCACTGGCCCTTGGAGGGGTTGGGAGCACCAAGGAGCTCAGGTCTGAGAGGACTGCCAGGTAGGAGAGCAGGCAGGGTGATGGCTGTTGGGGCGGGCTAGTCACACACCTCAGGGACATGGATCCTTGGAACGGAGATGGGCGGTCATGGCGTGGTAATTAAATGTCAGGTTAGGCTACAGATCTCGTCCCTTAGCAATTCCGGTCGTGCCCATAACTACCAGCATGATGAGGCCTCTCCCACAAATCCCTTTTCCTACCAGACAGCTGTTCTTGGTGCCCACAGCTGCCTAAAACCAGAATCCACCTCCCTTCAACCCAGGAGCTCCACAACCCCACAAGGTTTCACTATGTAGTTTAGTCTAGCTTTGAACTCACTACTGTAGCTTAGGGTATGACTTCCCCGTTGTAGCTTAGGCTGGCCTCCGACTCACTATGTAGCCTAGGCTGGTTTGGAACTCTGATCTTCCAGCTTCCACTTTCTGGTTGCTAGGATTAAGAGCATGTACCACCCCCAGCCTTCAGCCCCTACTCTTTTGTCTCTTAGAAAGGTCTTAGCCTCTCCCTGTTGCAGGCGGACCTTCCTGCCTGTAACCTTGACCTTCTCCAAGATTTCTCCCTGCGAAACCTCCAGGCTGGGTTTAGTGTGCTCACTCCCTCTCTCCCCTTTTGCCCTCTGGTTCCTCCTTTTGTTTTCTCTAGTTGAGACAGTGTCTTGGGAAGCTCAAACTTCCTTTGTAGGGAAGGCAGGCTTTTATCCTTGCATCTACTTCCTCAATTCCAGAATAGGACACCCAGCTAAAGTCTCTAGTTTTTGTTTGTTATTTGAGACAAGGTCTCACTGTGTAGCCCTGGCTGTCCTGGAACTAGGGGTGTACGCATGCTAGCCTCAAGCCTGCTTCTGCCTCCTGGGTGCTGGTATGACAGGTTTGTGCCAGCACACCTGGATTCATAGTCACTAATTTTAAAAGTCTTCTAAATGTGTTACTTTTTTTGATTATGCCACTATTCCAGTAATCAAGACACACTTTCTTCCTTTTTTTTTTTTTTAAGAGTTTTTTGAGACAGGGTTTCTCTGTGTAGCTCTGGCAGTCTTGGAAATTCACTCTGTAACCCACACTCACAAGATCTGCCTGTCTCAACCTCTCAAGTGCTGGGATTAAAGGTGTGCACCACTACTACCGGGCTCAAGACACTTTTTTTCCCCCAGGCAGGCTTTCTGTAGCCTTGGAGTCTGTCCTGGAACTTGCTCTGTAGATCAGGCTGGCCTCGAACTCACAGAGATTCGCCTGCCTCTGCCTCCTGAGTGCAGGGATTAAAGGCGTGCACCACCACCCTTGACAACCGTTTTTTCTTTTTAATGGGCACATGTGTATACATGTACATGTTCATGTGGGGGTGGTACCCTTGTGTGGCCATGCATGCAGAGGCCAAAGGACAACCTGGGATGCATCCTCAGGAAAACTGTCCACCTCCTATGACAGCATCTCCCATAGCCAGTAGCTCACCAGTTAGGCTTGACTGACTAGACGGGTGCTTTGTCTCCCCTTCACTGATTAAGCAGACCCTAGTTCTGCAAATTTCCTACAGACTGCCTTCCTTGCCTTGTTTTTACTTTATTGAAACAGTCTCAAGCAGCCCAAGCTGTCCTTGAAGCCACTATGTAGCTGATGGCGCTCTTGAACTTCTCCTTCTGCCTCTACTTCCTGAGTGCTGACTTTATAGGCTTGTACAGCCATGCAGCTTATGCAGTGATGGGGTGGAACCTCGGGACATTGTGCATGCACTCAGCCTCCCTGCCACACATACACATACACACACACACACACACACACACACACACACACGCACACACACACGCACACGCAAGCACACAGATGATAGGGGTCTTATGTAGCCAAGGTTAGCTTCAAACACACTATATAGCCGAGGCTGACTTTGAAGATCTCATCCTCCTGCCTCTAGCTGCTGGGATCACAACCATGCATTCCCATAACCAGCTATGTTGCATTTTAAAGGCATACGCATACATAGTATGTGTGGTGTTTTGCCTACATGTATGTAAGTATACCAAGTACTAACTTGGTGCCCACAGAGGCCAAAAGAGGTTGTCATCAGATTCCCTGCTCTTGGATTACAAATGGCTCTGAGCCACATGGGAGTGGTAGGAATTGAACCCATGTCCTCTGAAAGAGCAGCTGATGTCCTTAACCAGTGAGCTATTTCTCCAGCCCCAAAGTATTATTTTTATTTTATTATGTGTTATGTGAATATGAGCTTGTGATATCAAAGGTGTCAGATTCCCCTGGAGCTGGAGTTACAGAGTTAGGGTTCGTTATAGTTACAGTTGTGAGCTACCTGATGTGGGTGCTGGGACGAAACTGAGTCCTTTGCAAGAGCAGTTAACTGCTGAGCCATCTCTCCACCTTCCTATTTGCTGTCTTGATCTAACAGATTTAACCCAATGACTAGTTTATTTTCTCAAGCGTATCTCAGAAATTTACAAATATCAAGAGTCTCATTTGGGCCGGGCGTTGGTGGCGCACTCCTTTAATCCCAGCACTCGGGAGGCAGAGGCAGGCGGATCTCTGTGAGTTCGAGACCAGCCTGGACTACCAAGCGAGTTCCAAGACAGCCTCCAAAGCCACAGAGAAACCCTGTCTCAAAAAAACCAAAAAAAAAAAAAAAAAAAAAGAGTCTCATTTGGAGCCAGATATTGGTGGTGCACACCTTTAAACACAGCACTTGGGAGGCAGAGGCAGGCAGATCTCCGTGAGTTCGAGACCAGCCTGGTCTACAGAGTGAGTTCCAGGACAGACTCCAAAACTACATAAAGAAACCCTGTCTCGAAAAACAAAACAAAACAAAAGTCTCATTTGGGCCAGGCGGTAGTAGCTCACTCAGGAGGCAGAGGCAGGTAGATCTCTGTGAGTTGCAGACCAGCCTGGTCTACAGTGAGTTCCAGGACAGGTTCCAAAGTTACACAGAGAAACCCTCTCTCAAAAAACAAACGAGGGGCCGGGTGTTGGTGGTGCACGCCTTTAATCCCAGCACTCGGGAGGCAGAGGCAGGTGGATCTCTGTGAGTTCGAGGCCAGCCTGGTCTACAAGAGCTAGTTCCAGGACAGCCTCCAAAGCCACAGAAAAACCCTGTCTCGAAAAACAAAACAAACAAACAAACAAAAAAACAAACGAGGGGGAGGCTGGAAAGGAGTGGAAAGGGGACACCACAGGTAAGAGTGTCCGCTGGCTCCTCTGTTTGGTTTCCAGGACCAACAGTGGGTGATTGACACCACCTGTAACTCCAGCTTCATGGAGTCCAGTGATGCCAGATGAGGGCACCAAGTATCTCTGCAGCTGGACTTATAGGTGCTTAGGAGCCACCCAACATGGTGCTGGGAATTGAACTCACTCAGCGCTCTCCCTTTTGATTCTGTGGGAGAGCAGTAAGTCTCCCAAGTGCCAAGTCATCTCCACTCCCTGTGTCCTGATGCCTCAGCTTCTGGAGTGCTGAGATAACGTTCAGTTGTTACATCCATTCGAGGCTTCATTTATTTTATTTTTCATTTTTCCAGGCAGACAGGGTTTCTCTGTCTAGCTCGGGCTGTCCTGGAACTTGTTCTGTAGACCAGGCTGGCCTTGAACTCAGAGATCTGCCTGCTTCTGACTTGTGAGTCCTGGGACTAAAGGTGTGTGCCACCACCACCTGGCTGAGACTTTATTTATAACCTAAGTATGATTAATATTTATAAATGCTCCAACTATTATTTTGGGGGGCAGCAGTGGTGAACAGGATCTCACCACATAATCTTTTTTTTTAAAGATTTATTTATTTATTACATATACAGTGTTCTGCCTACATGCCAGAAGAGGACAACAGATGGAATTGTAGATGGTTGTGAGCCACCATGTGGTTGCTGGGAATTGAACTCAGGACCTCTGGAAGAGCAGTCAGTGCTCTTAACCTCTGAGCCATCTCTCCAGCCCCACCACATAATCTTATAGACCTGGCTAGCTTGGTATTTGCTATGTAAACCAGACTGGCCTCAAACTCACAAAGATCATCCTACTTCTCTGCCTCCTGAGTGCTGGGATTAAAAGTCTGTGCTAGCATTCCCAGGCAAAGATGGCTCAGTTATTAAGATGGATCGCTGCCCAATCATCAAGACCAGACTTTGGATGCCAGGACCCATATAATCACCCGTGCACCTCCAGCTCTGAGGGATTCAACTGCCTTTGTGCAGGAATAGATTTGAGTAGCTGCATGCACAGGTGCACACACAGGTACTAAACTTTCAGAAGGGCTAGAGACTTAAGCCCAGCGGTAGACCTCTGGGTTAACAATTGAGAGACCCTGCTTTAGTCCCCAGGCCAGCAAACAAATATTGATGAAAGGTATGATTTGATTCTTGGGGTCAGATCTCCTGATGTGTGAGTGACAGGAGTATGTGAGCTGCATGGGGGTTGGAATCCAAACTGAGTTCCTCAGGAAGACTGGCAAGTTCTGTTAACTGCTGAATCATCTCTCCAGCCTGAGACTCCTACACACACACACACACACACACACACACACACACACACACACACACACACGACAGGCTAGCTACTATGCAGTGCAAGGATGACCATAAACTTTGATTTTCTGAATCTTATCTAGCAAGTGCTGAGATTATAAGAATGAGCCACCATAAGTGGTTCAGTCAGTGCTGGGAATCCAACCTAGGTCTTCCTTCATGCCAGCCAAACACTCTCTACCAGCTTAACTACATTCCGGTCTTAAAATATTTCCATTTGGGGAGTTAGAGAGAAGGCTCTGCAGTCAAGAGCACTTGCTCTTTCAGAAAATGAGGGTTTAATTCCCAGAGCCCAGGGTGTGGCTCATAAGTATCTGTAACTTCAGTTCTAGGGAAACAGTGCCCTCTTCTGGCCCCAAGGGGTACTGTGTAGCACCCACATACATAAGAGTAAAAAATGAATGAAAAAAATTAAAAACCACTCAAACTTATAGAGACTAAAATTCAGATCTCATATCATTTTCACTTATCAAAATACCATAGTTAACTCAGGCACAGTGGCATTTGCTTGTTCCAGCATTCTGGAAGCTGAAGCAGAGTAGCCTAGACAACACTGGGAAGCCAATCAGAGTGAAAGAAAAAGACAGGCCGGGAGAGTGATGGCAAAGAGGAGTGGGGGGAGGGAGGGATTGATTTTATATTTCTGTTTTTTTTTTCTTGGCTCACCAACAATTGTTAAAATAAGTCTGCCTACAGGTCACAGAAAAACAAGCATGGGTCCCAGCAGCAGCAGGTAGGGCCTGTTCATACCTGTTTTAGCTGGCCGCCTTCCAACAGCTTCTGCAGCCTGATCAAGAATAAACGCCATCCTGGGGTTGGCGGTTGCAGCTGCTGCGGGGACCAAGGGTCCTGGTGGCTTAGGGGGTTTAAGGCTGTCTCTGATGACCTTCCTCCTCAGGTTAGAATTCAGCCTGGCACCTGCAGCTTTTATAACCTAGCTCCTGCCTCAGGGTCGCTTTGTAGGTCACTGGGCGTCTCCTGGCTTTTTCTCTTCTGGAAGGAGACCTCTGCACTAACCTGACTCCACAGGCCGTCCCAGTTCATCCCAGGCCTGCTAAGGGCCCGAGCCCCACCGTACTGTCTATACCCCTTTGCATCCTCAGGCAAGCTTTCAATGGGAACCAGGGGCTGGGGTTACTGGAGGGAGGGAGGGCGGAGCTTCGGGATGCAGACAGGTCACCCAGACTGTGTCCTCAGAGGGAAATGGAACTTTCAATTGTTCCTGTTACTTGCTAGGCAAGCATCCTACAACTGAGGTACCTCCAGCCCTCATCCCCTTCTTTTAAAAAGTATTACTTTTTAGACAGGGTCTTTCCTTCAGAAAACTGGCCTGTAGACCAAACTGGTCTCATACTCACCTCCTAAGTGGATTTAAGGCAGTCACCACCTCTGTTTTTCTTCCTTGTTTATTATTTTAGGGGCTAGAGAAATAGCTCAGCAGTTAAGATCCTCCACAGGCCCTGAGTTTGACGCCAGCACCCAAATCGGGCTCCAGCTCCAAGGCCTTTGGCTTCTCAGCACACAGACTCTATGGTGTGTACACACCTCACACATATTCTCAGCACACCCACACAACACACTCACATTCTCAGCACACCCACTTAA